CACAGATTTCTAGAAAGAACTGAAAAAAAAGTAAAATAGTCCAGTGGTTATCTAAATTATCCTCACAAGTTAGGACATATTTCATCACAGGTGGAAGGAATTTGAAGAGAAGGTGGCTAAGAAACAAGTGGACCATCAGGGTATTACACATTTTTCATGCACGGCGTTAGACAAAATGCTTCGAAGGACCAATCACTACGATTATCCCCAGAAAATCTGCCTAAATGGCAAGTTTTATAGTTGGTATTTCATGGACTACATAACAAAGGTGTACACTGCTCTGAAAAGCGACGAAAAAGCCAAACCTTTGCTATCCTACATGCATTTTAATACCGGACACGAGACTAATGGTAAACGGATGATCAACATGGACGCCAACATGGCGAAATTCATCATAAATATGGCCTCTTTTTCTGATACTCTAACGTTGATATTATCTGACCACGGTCACACAAGGACTCCGTTTCGTAACACCAAAGAGGGAGGAAAAGAGTTGTACGATCCATTATTCTTTATGATTGTTCCTGATGGCGTTAGGGAAAAACTTGGTCCACAAAGGATGAACGCTCTAGTCACCAACCAAAAGCGCCTTTTCGTACTTAAAGATGTACACAAAGCATTCATGAGTTTACATGATCGACAGAAAATGGACTCTGTGGATTATTCAGTGACAGGAATTTTTTCAGAGATTCCAGCAAACCGCACATGCGCAGACCTCGAAATGCTCCCCGCTGCCAAATGTAAATGTGAAGGTTTTGATGAAGAAATTGAAATAAGAGAAAACGCAGATGAACAAAAGTGGCTAGCAGAATTTGCTGTGGGATACATCAATAATGCAATACAAAGACAACACAGGGAAGGTAAGATATTAAGAGAATATAAATAAGAAAACCAAGTGGAACTAAGCAGGGTGTAACACTGCTTTTATAGCTGATGGGTTTTACACTATACGTCCTACGTCGGTGTGGTTAAAGAAATCAGTTAATTAATATCTTACCATCTTTTTGCGAACTGTAATGGCTTTCATTACCCATGTAGGAATTTTAACAAAAAGTATATGCTCAATGGAGATATTTGGGGTCTCACAGGGACAGCAATTATCTCCTTGTGTATACTATTTCCACTTTCACAAAGTTGTTAATCTCATGATACTTAGCACTGGCGCCAAATTTGCGTCAGATCGCCGATTTGAGTACAATTATTCCCTGCTCGGTTTCGTCATAGACATTCTTTTAAATGTGAAGTGCTTTTATTCATTTTAGGTTCTTCGTTTGCTTATTTTGGATATGATGATCATTAACCGGTAATTGAGTATTTTACATCTGTCCCATGCTCTGTTTCGTTGCAAACCCTTAATGAGCAGATCTACAGAGAACAAAGGTTTGTTCCAATCCAAGAAATATCATGAAAGGGTTTTGAGAGGGTCTAAAAGAGGTGATGGTTTTAGCTATCTCCCAAGGAATACAACATTTGGAACTGTATTTCCACATTGCTAGCTTTGTGTGTAATTCCACAGAACAGGCCTGTTCCAACCCAAGGAATACAATGAGAGGGGTTTGAGGGTTCAATCTTTGCTCATGGGGAATTAAGCTTAGATAGACTTCTCTCTCCTCTTTTCAGGAGGTGTCAACTCATATGGCTATGGAAACTGCGAACGCTTGGTTGGCAAATCGTTTTCAAAAGGGATCAAACGTTTCCGAGGAGAATTTATCGTGACGAGCATGGACATCCACGTGTTCCCTCCAACCGGTTACAATGAGGATGAAGTGTTTAGAGTAACTGTCAAACAGTTCGCTGAACCGAAAGATGGAGTGTTTTTTCTAAATTCCATAAGAGTGACAACTTACAGCAAGTTTGAACTTTGTGCAGACAAGTCAGTCGATATTAAGCTCTGCGCATGCGCCAAAAATCAAATCACTAGGAAAGAAGTGTTGTTTGAGAATGGCGTTCCAAGCAAAATGTTTGGTTCGACGACAGTTGTAAAGAACCTGGACTCCAACTGTTTGTTGTTCATGAGACGAGATTACGGGTCGTTTTCTTTTGCATTAGAAGTAGCCAATGTTTGCACAAATACAACTTATAAATTTACGATGACAGGTTCAACGGATCAAAGAATTTTCACCAATACTTTGCCTATCTCTCTTGAGTTACCTCCCAAAACCTTTCATTTTCTAACATCTGTGACCAAGTATATCGTGAAGGTAGATACGGACCTTAATCTAAAAGCAAGTATACAGGTTCAGAACAGGGAATCGGATACCTTTCACAGTTTAGGAACTGTTGAAGTTTCGTAACGGTTAACATGCTTTTATTTGGAACATTTGAGTTTTACCATAATTGGCATTAATGGTGATTGGCCACTTCGCTGTTGTCGATAAGGGTTCAGGCAACGCTGCTCTCGTCAAAGTGTCAAGCAATGGTCATGCACTGAAAGAATCGTTTCGTTGTTGCAGACTCACTCGGCCACATCGCGTGAGTCCACACTATTTTGACCACTGTGATGACGAGTATCGCTGTCAATAAGAATACAGACCATGTTAAATCACTGTCAATTTTTTTAATCTTTATCTTAGGGTTTGTTACAAATTTTCTTGGATGTGTTGAGTTTAAAATGCCGCAAAAATAGATAAACATTTCATAACTTAGTGTCATGTACGTGTCCAAAAATACACAGATTTCTAGAAATTAGTAAAATAGTGTGGTTATTCAAATCTCCCTTACAAGTTGGAGGATATTTAATTACGTTAGATATTTATAAATTAAATTATTTTAAGACTCCTTTGTGGTAAGTGTTGTTGTAGGAAAGTATTTCAGTAACTATCGAAGAATTTTGATTAACAGAGTGAATTGTAATGTATGAATACAAAATTTAAGTATAGGCCGATTGGAGTCTGGCTAAGAATAGTTGCTCACGATTTTATTTTGAGGTCTAGACAATTATTTTACTTCATAAATGCCTTTACATCGTGCGGTCATCATGCTTCTTTTTTGACAAGGAGGGAGTGGGTGGGGGTCCTTTAGATCATAACCCCATTTCGCTCACCAGTTAGGTTTTCGAATCATCATTTATTTCCTATTCACTTTGCGTTTATTCTTCTCTGCATATTTCTCTCTTCCATTTCTTGTAAACTGAGCTGAGTTAAATAAATAAAGCCTGAAAAAATAAATCATCTTTCTACTACACGTTTTACAACGGTAGCTAAAAATGGTTCATCGGTTTTGTTTTATACTTGTCATCCTTACATATTGAAAGCTCTTGATACAACTTTTCTCGAAACGAGTTATCGGGAGCGCTTCCAAAGAAGTATGGAAGGTCTGTGGTTGAATACCAAGCATATTTCTCTTAATTAATTGTCTTTGAGTATGGCAATAATGCCTTGTGATTATACCCTTTTCCTCTTCTCATATTTTCGTTCTCTGCAAAAAGGGAACACCTGATGTCAGGTGAAGGAAAAAGGAACTGCTTTAACGTGGGAGAACGTATTTCTATAGAAACTTTAAGTCGTTTTTACACATTTACACATCTTTCTTCCGTTGTTTTCTTAGACTGAGTGTAAGGCTGGTGGTTTTGCGTGTGCTTTGCGAGAGACTTGTGCGCACACAAAAAGGTGAAGCACACCTCTCTACTCAACACTTAGCACTCATAAAAAGGTAAAACGCCCTTCAAAACGCTATGAAATTTACCATCGTCTCGGTCTATTCCGTATGGGGGAAAATGCTGGTGTATTTCATGAACAGGGGCTGGTAATCGAAAGGCTTGAAACGCCATTGACGCGATTTCATAATATGAGTGCGGCAAGCGATTGGGTGTGCGTGTGTGAACGTTGTTAATTAAATGTTGATTGATCAAAGCAAAACAAAAGGTCACAAGACATCTGGTCAGTTTTCTACAATTCTCTTCCACCCATCTCAGTTCATTTGATCTTTCCTTACCTCATTTTATCACACACATTCTTTCTCGATCAGCATCTCATCATATCTTACTCAGCTCTAAACTAAACTTAACTGATACTACCCACCCTAACAGTCTTAGCACACAAAACCCATCTAATCCAACCATACCTCACCCACAGTACCCATCTCTCTGTCTGCATTTCTCCCTTCCCATTTCTACTTCCCCCCATCCCAACCTACCTCAACTCACCCTACCCCAATCATCGATCACGACGTGGCTATCCGTTTCAGCAGTAGCATTCTATTTTTATTGCCTGATAAATGAAGACTCGTAACATGAAATATGAATCAATACCTAAATTTAGTTCGTTCGCATCCCTGTGGTTGTGGGATGCGATAAAAGAAAGAAACACACATACACATGCGCTCTTTCTGTCGGGTATTCTGAGGGTTAGTGAGTTGTAGGGTTATCTATAGATATATTTACCTCCGTCCATGGGATAAATCCTGAAAAGTTGGAAATCAATCTTAAAAATCGGCTGATTTAATATCAGAGGGGAATTAAAATGTCATTTTCCAGAGTCTAATTTGGTTTTTTAGCTTCTTGTGTGTACTTTGCATCTTAGGATAAAATACTATTTTCCAGGCTTCCCCAACACGTGCAGTCCAGCCAAGAGCATTATATGGATCAGGAAATTCTGTAGTTAATCTTCCTCCAAATGTATTTTCAATCCTCCTCTTTGTCAACTCTACATTGTCGTTTCGTTCTCGAAATCTCTGCTACAATGTTCGTAAAAATCTGCTCCATCAAATTAAGTGTTCAGGACTTACAATAAAAATATTATCTTAGTTTCCTTTCGCCTAGAATTTTAAGCGACCCCTTTTCATGTGGTCTATGACGTCACCTATGCACGCAACATCTGTCAAAAGACGTCACGAGAGAAACATCTGTGAAAAAGAAATATATGAAATCCTAACACGACCAATAGCAGTTCGGCAGTGAAATTTACCTAATTAGTAACTGGTGTGAAAATAATCTAATGATTAATTGGTTCTCCGGGAAAGGGTCATTAATATTTGCATAAATTAAACCATTATTAGAGACATCTCTCGGAAGGCCCTTATATGTATATTATCAGTCTGCTAAACGAAAACAAAAAAAAAAAAAAGCGCACGGATATTTCCTCGAGGCTTGAAATAACGCAACAGCCGATTATCCTTCAAAGTCACTGCAGTGATCCATTGAGAGCGGGCTGTGGCACAACCATCGCAGTGTCATTCAATATACTCCCGGGCACCTGCGAGTTTCGTTCCGTTGTCATCGAAATATCTTCCGGCAGCACCGGTGTGATTTGCAAATTACGTTGATATTATTGAAGTTTTGAAGCTTACAAGACGATCTTTGATGGGCTGATAAACGCCATTTTCAGTTCGATGGTTGCTACGAGCTACAGCAACCAATTCAGATTTTCGACGATTTTCGCTAGGTTATTTTATCTGTCAATTCTTCAGGTCGTTTCAGAGGTAAATCCGAGGTGATAAAAGCGACTGCACAAGCTAAGACAATTCGTAGCGCGGAAAGTCGGTTATTGGCAGAAGTTTTCTCATTGATTACGGTGGTTTTAAATCGACTCGCTAATTAGTGGTGGCCGATTACATATCATCTTCGACAAAGTTTCGCAGCAATCATGCAAGCAAACCGGCTCGTGGACTGCACATTAGTCAAAGTGAACCAGGGATTTCAAGAAAAAATACGGGGAATTTAGACTTCCAATAGCGCCTTTATTTGTCATGGAGGCGTTACATCTGATCCATAAACTTGTCCCTGGTCGCCAAAGGAGGTATCGTCTCAGTTCACATGGGTTAAATCGAAGTGTAGACAGCATCCTGGATGGCCTTGATGGTTCGAAACGACGAGCATCATATCCGGCAAACTCTGAGGTAAATATGTTATTTTCTTTTTCTGCTAAAGAGTCACTGATATTGCAGTTCAAGTATATGATTGTCATATGTAGAATACTCCGCTTAAAGTTGAATTTAAACGCGATGGCTTTTACGATGGTTTGCTTGGTAAAAACTAAACCGCACGAAAAGTTATGAAAATCGGATTTCAGACGAGGGGCTTTTAATCTTGTAAGTTATTTGTCTTGTTGCCATTCTGTTATAATTTCAGTTTCCAAAATCTTAAAATATGATATGCATTTTTTAAGCATGATATCTATTGCTCTGAATTGGTTTTGCGTCTGTCGGCTGGTTAATTTGAACGGATTATGGTTGGTCTTATCAAACGCGATTAAGAAAACTCGCTTCCCTGTGAAAAGTCAAGATTTTTATCATCTTTATAGTGGAGTGCAAGCAGATATTCGCACGCTGGTGATGAATCGTTTATTGAATTTTCTTTTGCGTATCTATGCGCTGTAATATACAACATCAGGAAAAGAACAAACCTGATGAAGTGGGCGTTGAATTTACCTATGTCATACTCAGAAATAAAAACCACAAACTGAATGCGAAAAAAAGATTAGAACGTCATCATATTGTAGATATTACAAAATTGTTCCATATTGATCACCACCAAAATTGAAAAACATTAACTTCGGGGCCAAATTTATAACCAGATAGATGAAATTATTCATTGCCGTGAGTCTTTCCCTTGGAAGAAAACTATTTTTTGTTGCAATTTATGATAAGCAGGAAAGTGCACTACCAGTGAGTCTGATGTTTGAAATTTTTCGATGAAAATTGAGTAATATGAACTCGGTAAATGACCACACACAGAGAAAACTTTAAACTATTATCCATTTCACTTTATGATGATGTATATCTCCAGCGGTTTGAACGCATCAAACTGAACTCAGACGGAAGTCTTTGAATAGAACAGGTGGCCGTGAACTCGTCTTTGAACATGGCGTGCGCATTTACATCCAAACGATTCTATTGCCAAAAAATTGGATTCAGTGCTAAAAATATTTTTCAAGTCGTTGAATCGATGTTAGTGCACAATTTGAAACTTCGTGTTCAAACACTGAGATCAATCGACAAAGGAATCAGCTCTGAAATTTTTGATAATAAAACTGCTCGGTTCTGCCTTGTAATTTATTGATATTCTTTGTTGATATTCTAATGATGTGCCCTCTGCTTACTTATGCGGTCCTGACAATGAAGTTGTGGTTTTCAAACTTCCCAAAACCCATCGATCATTTCATTCGCGTCTTTTTAATCTATTACCTCAGGGCGATGTTAGGTTTCCTATAAATTTAGGTTCTTTGGTCGCTAGCATAGTAAGTCAGTTGAATTCTCAATGGTCACGATTCACCCACAGTAAAACAAACTTTACCTCAATCGTTGGAGAAAAAAAAATATAGGGCATTTCGGACAATTTACTTCGACGATCGAAACTAAATAAAGCTGGCCTCTAGCCAGCCTTTTTTTGGAAAATCCACAATATTTCCGTTGTTTAACATGCCCAAACAAGCGAATACTTTCTATTCATCATTTTACGTATTGTGTTTGTGGTAGCACCTGCGTAGAGATTTTCGGTATATATTGGAGCCGTTTCAAATTAGAAGCTGATATTAGCGCCGAGGCTCAGACGGACCGATCATGATTGCGCGGCAAAGAGTCTTCAGACGATCACAAGCGTTTTCATTATTTCATTAACATTGTTTTTTAATACCACTGCGATCTTCTTTTGTTAAAATGTATTTTTTAATTGACTAACTAATATTGTGATCAGTTTTCTCCCATAGTCAACGCGCTTGTGGTCATTAAAAAATTCTGTAGAACTTCTTGAGGTTAAGATGCCATATTGATCTACACATCCCCGTTGATTTGAAGTAAAATTAAATAAATAAATACATGAAAATCAGCGAGTGACTCTGAATCCGTTCAGACGTTAAACGCACATTATGCTACAATTGAAGGTGTTTTAAGCGGCTGAAGTGTCACTATGGTAACTCACTGCGTCGGAAATGATATTTGAACGATTCATATATTTTTTAGCTGTGATTATAGATGAAAGCATAGGAAAGGAAAAACTCTAAAAGAAGGCGCTGAAAAAGTAAGAGACACTTTTCAACTTCCTTAGCTGCGTTTAAGATGTGCAAGAGCACCTTTATTTTGTTTAACACTGCTCTGAGCGAGTTGAAAAGCTCAGGTGAAAGTTGATTTGGCCATTATGAGACCAAACGTTGAATATGCAGCTGTGTCACGATCGAATCGATACAAAAGCTATGCTCGAAAATACCAGTCGGTTGCAGCGCAATCGCTGCAACCATTTCCTCGATCAACTACAGTTGTGAAAAGATCTGCAAATCAGTAAATCAGCAATTTCAGGGGTTAGAAAATTATTTTATTTGGAGTTTGAGGCTTATCGAAGCCTCTATTAATAACAACGGAATCATGAACTCCAGACTGAAAACAACGGAAGTATATGCTCAAAAATTGCATCAGCTTACGTAAACGGTTTGAACCGAATTGAATTTGCTTATCATTGGACAGGTAAGGTCGGGAATTCGAAATTGCTGTGAATGACATAATCTATTGTTATTTTATTGTTTGAAAGTCTAAATATAACTATTTAAATTTAGGATTATAAGGCTAAATATACTTCCGATATCCGTTGCAATAATTCTATTGGGGGGGGGGGGACCCGACGATGGTTCCCTCCCCCTGACCCTTGAATACAACAAATTGGAGGATTGGGGTTCTTTTCACTTTATCAAGACTGTTCTACCTGGGTTCGATTTACTTGACCTGAGGTAGAGCGCTAGAGTAAATTAGGGTGAAGGGGGGGAAGGGGGAGGGTTGAAATAAGATCTAGAGTGCCCTGTGGGGCTCAGCCTACGAGTTTTATTAAGCCAGAAGTCCCATACAGAACGAGTAGTTTCACAGACAGGCAGGGGAAGCTGTAGACGGGTGCGAGGTTAAATCCTGTATTCAAACAATCTGACAGTATGAACAAGCTTATCAGTGAGTGACGTACGAGTTAAGCTACCCCTTCTCCCCGCTTCCCGACTGAAATATATGTCTACATTTATTCTTACCGGTGGCAGTGAAACCTGTCTTAGGTATATTTTTAGAAATGACGGATGAAAAAGCTGCTTTTACCGCGTGATATCCAATTTTCAAGGCTTAATGAGCTCAAGTTTCCGGATCGTGCCAAAGTTATTTTGATGATGAAGGAAAAAGGTCACAAACCTAACTTCGAGTAAATTTATGACGCCACTAAGGAATTATAACGCGCTTTCTTCTTAACCTGAGGGGATCATTTTAAAAGGAGGTAGGGAGAGCTCCTATGGAGAAACTTTTTTCTCAGTATTCAAGAAAGGAACTTACTAAGCGTCGCGTAGACGAAAATACTGTCACCCTTTCAATTTGCCTTGACCTTGTCATAAATGCACTCTCCCTCCCCTCCCCCTAGCTTTTCCTGCATCACGTGCCTTGAGCCCAGTGTCTCGTTAGGTCGTATTCGAAAAGTTTTATCGATGAAATCATGGAGGAAAGGAACTAGTATTCCCGGGACGAAAATGATTCTCTATCAGGCTGTACGACAGCACTACTCACTAAAATTTTGTGATCTATTTCTCTCCTATCTGCAAACATAAGCTGCGGGCAATTAAAAGACTGAAAACAGTCAAAATGTCCACCAACGGACTGACGGTCTCGAAGGTACTCGAGCAGATCCAACTTGTGCAGGGTATGATTGACATAAACGCCTCCAGCTTAAACAGTCTTCGAACACAGTTTTCCACCAACAGCGACTTGATCCAGCAGGAAATTCGCACGTTAGAGGTAAACTTATTAACTTTTACGATTATGTTCAGGGTGTTTGGAGATCTTTTGGAAGAGGTTCATTTTACGGCAGTCGATCGCCAGATTGAGAATAACAAAATTGGCGTGCGTCGAACGTTTTAAGCTCAAGATCTATATTATATTGATGCCAGACATTCCGCCTACGTAAAACCGAAAACTAGTTTCTCAAGAATTAATTTATACTTTAACTTTCAAGTGTATGCTATTATGTAAGACTGTAAAAGTGTTTATCGTTCTCGACGTACCGGTGTTCAGATCTTCGACATGTTTGCTGTTTGATTCTGTTTCCTACGTGACTTTAAGAGTAGCTGTTTTTATTGATGTTTACGTTATAGCGAATCTTGACACGAAATCTTGGGCACTCATTCGCGGTTGCCTGAGCAAACGTTTGACAATCGCCTACGCAGCATATTAAACACAGAAATGACCCTTTTCTTGTCGCGCTGGATTATAAGTGATCCCTGCATCAGTATTAAATACTCGTTCGCGCCTCGATCATGTCTTCGGAGACACAAGTTCCATTAACTACTTTAAAGATTTGAAGATATTGGCTGCAAGATTAAATTAAGTTTTTCTTGCGGCAACCGTTTCTGTAAAAACAACTATTCTGCCACCGGAAAAATTTTTTTTCGTAACTATGTCTGTAGAGAACTGGCGTCAAATTGGATCATGAAAATTCATAATCTTAGATTGTACATATTATAATAATTCCCGTGGAAATCAATTGAATGAGCGAAGAATTTAAATTTAACACCTGTATCAGCGATAAAAGGCTTTTTAATGCTATTTTCACTATATGTTACCACCGTTACATTTTTAAATTTTATTCATTTTTTTTTAAGGGAAAGCTTGTTAAACTGTTTTCGAGGCAGTTAGTTGCAAAGCAGAAGTGCAATGAAGATTGGAATGACTGTGAAAAACTCCGTTATTATCCTAAACTAGAACAATGGCTGCAGGTGGTAGGAATCAACGAAGAAGCAATTAAGGTATATTTGTTTTGTCTTGTCATTCCCTCACATGTAAAATCAAAAGCCTCACTGTCATTGTGTGCACAATGTTTGTATCACCCCACCCCTACTTGAACTTTTTTTGCCATCTGATTCTGTGAAAGATAATATTGAAATTGTAAGGAATTGCTTTAAATTTTGTGTTTGTGGCCAAAAATATTTTTAAGAATGTAACATGGAAGTTAGTGTTATCATAACATACATTTGCAAAAGGAAAGGTATCTTATTTTAGAACAAGGCCAAGAGTTTTAAATATTTATCTATGTTGGCTGGATTGTGTGTTTACATTTTGTAAGCACCAGTGTCCTGTGCTATTTTGTAGGTGTGTTGGGAAAAAATAGCATCTTGAGAAGATGTACTTCTTTGCCCTATGATTATATGGGAGTGTTGATCACAGAATCTGATTTTAAGGACTTTTTCCATGTTTACACAGCTTCATATTAACATAAAAGATGGGAAAATTCAAGATGTGTTTAGATAAGGCAATGTGAAAACGGGAAAAGAGTCCTCTTTTTATCAAACTATTTCTCAAAACCTTTGCCTTGTATTAACTAATTTCTTACAGTAACTAAAATGAAAGAAAATGGAAATTTATAAAAATGGAAATTTACAAATTTAGCATGAAAACATCATTTGAAAGAAATATACATATATATATATATATATATATTTTTTTTGTCACTTACTTATATTCACCTTATTTGTATTCACATGTTACCCATAGTTCTTTATTCGCCTTTAAATCCTTTTACCTTTCTCAGTTTACAATTTAGACCTTTGTTGTATTACATAACCTCAATCTTAAAATTTCTATTTTGTATATAAGTCGCAATCATTGTAAATAGTGTTTTAGTTTTTAATTACTGAAAAAGGCCGAATGGCTGAAACGCCATGCATTAAACTCGTCCAGAACAGTCAAGAGTTGGCCTCTTCCTTACGTTCTTATAGTACACTTAAATTGCATTAATATTTTTACCTTTATTGTAGTGTTTCTGTTACATGTAGTATGTGTGTAGTGATTAGTTGATTTAGTGGGCTAAATTACTCTGTATAGCTTGCTAAATTCAAAAGTTTGTATGAACTGAAATCAATTTAAATCTAGGGATATATTGTATGATAAATATCTATCACTCTGACAAAGGGCTAACACTTGAAATGTCAGGTTTTTTGCTCTTTACGATGGCCAATTTATGTTTTCAACTCAGTTGTTAACACTAAATTACCAAATATCTTACTTGTTTCATTTTCTCATGTCTGCACAAGCACAAGCAGACTACACTATGTGTTTGTGGTTAATAGTTGTTGTCATGAGGTGAACAAAATCTATGAGGGTAGTGAATAAAGCTCTGAAAATGGCTTATCTAAATTATGTCTGTGGCTGAGTTTGGCATCAATCATATTTAGAAAGCTATATTCTTCATTTCAGCATCAATTTTCTTGGAAAATGTGGAGCAATGAAGCCCAAATTTGGAAAAGAGATAGAGCAACATCTCATCCATCAAAAAGCCAGTTAGGAGAGATTTTCATTAGTTTTGCATTAATTCCAATTTGAAGTGGAGGAGGTCGCAGCTGGCAGCCAAAAGTGGCTAGCCTTGTCTCCTTTCCTTTCTTAACTGCCTCCAGCCAAAAGTAATTTATAGAAAGAAGCTTCAAACAGCCCATGAAGGCGACAAAAAACCATAAATGAGTTGATTAACATTTTATTTAACTTTATTAAGATATTCAGACAGAGGTTTAATTTAAATATGCAATTTTCAGAGCTTTACTCATAACCCTCCTAGATTTTTTTTGTATCATGTCAACAATTGTTAACTTCAACAAGCCTGTAGTAGACGTATGGCCCATGTGCTTTGTGCCAGGGCTATAAATCCGAATGGATAAAGCTTGGTCTATAACTTGTGACATGAACCTCAAACTCAGGGAATAAGAGGTTGTATTTTCTTTCAAATTGACAGAATTTGGAGGAGAAGTGCAGCACAGTTGAAGGTCTTTTGTCTTTGTCTGATGAGAAAGTAAAAGCAATGCTGGAGAATTATGCTGAAGGACAAGAAGAAAGTAGAAGGTTAATTGCAGCTCTAAAACATCTTCAGGCATATACAGGTAACAGTCATGTACTTCAACCCAAGCAGTTGAAGAAATACTGAATTTTGCTAAATTCCATTCAAGAAAACTGAAGTTCCAGTTTGACTTCTTGAGATTTTTGCCACCCTCATAGAGCAAATCTCAGAACCTAGAAATCAAAGTTAACCCTTTAACTCTCAGAAGTTATTAGCATGAAACTTCTCCTCCATACATTAATCAGCAAACAGGTAAAAATGTGAATCTTCAAACTTGTCAGGCAGAAGCTGCTACCTAGATCTAGCACTAGGTTCTCATAACTAATTTAAAAGGAGGTGTGTAGCAGCTAGAGGGGAGAATTGACAATCAGATCTTGGGAGTGAAAGAGTTAAGAGGTCACCAGATTCCTTGGGAGGATTGTGTCCATATGTTGATAACGACCATTAAGAAACATTATTTCAGAACTTTTGTTCTGATTAATGAAAAGAAATAATTGATCATCAAACTCACCTCTTCCCCTTCCCTTGTTCAAGGGATGTGTCTAATTTGTTTGAGGAAAAGCTACAATTAATAACACTTCATTACTTACTGCCATTTGAGCCAATTTGCACTGCCATAAAATCAATTGTAAATGGAACAAAATATCTGGAATTTCAAAATTTCTGGATTCAAAGACAAGCTCTGAACATTATCCTCAATTTTCTGAATTGTCTTGATTCCTAATTTTCTTATCTGTAGGTTATCTTATCCCTTAATTCCCAAGATCTGATTGTTGATTCTCCTCTCCAGCTGCAACATGTTTCCATGTAAATTAGTTGAGAATTTGGCATAAGATCAAGGTAACAACTGCGACCTGATACAGTACCGCTCAAAAGAAAGTTGAAAGTCTCTTGAAACTTGATCTTTGATACTCAATTCTCAAAAACTTCGAGGATCAAGAGTCGAGTGAGGTTTGATCATTTGATCAAATTCCGTTTTTTGTATCAGGAAAGCTAGAAAGTGGCTTGTTGTGAGCTTGAGTCTTGTTGCATACATGCAAGCAGCTTCTGTGTTACAAAGCCACATGTCAAGTGTTTTGTCATAAGATGTTGTTTTGCAAGCAGGAATGGAATCATGTCCTTGGAACTGCAATGGAGATCCTCGAAAAGTTCTTTGAACATGTCAATCCTTGATTTTTCTCAATAGTTTCTCACTAGTTTTGAGGATTGAGGATTAGGTTTTGAGTCATGACTGAGTGGTACTGTAAGTCTGGGTATCCTCATTACCTGGTCTAAACAATCTTCTGTGAGTCAAACAAGCACTTTTCACTCAACTAATTTATTCTTGTTTTCTCGTCACCATATTCCCACTGATAGCATTGCACCATTTTCTGCATGTAAACCCACACACAACCCACAATTCCTCCAATCACTCTGACAAAGGGCTAATGCTCAAAACATCAGCTTTTAAACTCTTAACAGTGGCCAATTCATGTTATCAACTCAGTTGATAATACTAAATTACCCTGTTATATTTGAACTCAGAGGTTGCTTGCACATAATCATATCATGCAGCAGTCCTGTGCTATAAGGGACCTAAAATCATGTAAAATTTTGTTTTTGTCCCACTGTAGAGCGACAGAAACAGGGTCACAAAGACAGCACTTCAGATATATATTGGGATTCCTGGGATACGGGAAAGACAAGGGAAAAGAGCCTCTCTATCAGCCCCTCTGAGCGTTCGTCACGTTCCTCTGTCACTTTGGACAGTGATGTACCCCTGTCATCACCAAGCTCAGATGCTGACACTGAAGGTTCCCGACTGTCAACACTATCTGCAAGTGATACCGATAGTACTCTGAGTCCTAAGCACATTGGTAATTCACAACCAGCTTATTTCAGTATGATCAAGAGAAGTGTATCTGATGATGCAAATTTAGGTAAGGATAATTAAAAGAAGCAACCTTTTAACTCCCATGAGTGACCAAGACAGAATTTCTCCTTACAATATCAATACAATATCAAAACAGACAAGTAATGAGAACAACTAAAAATATAAATTAGAGAAATGCAAGTAGATCCAATAAGAATTAAATGGCAGTCAGTAAGGAGAATTGCTGATGAGATCATGGTCAGGAAAGGGTGAATATGGTACATGCGTGTGTGATGGTGATGAAATCTTGGCTCCTAATGGCTGGTTTTCAAAAGTGACTGAGTTGGGAATCCAAGTTGGAGTCATACGATCCCTTAACCCTTTAACTCCCAAGATCTCGTTAGTAATTCTCCTTACTGTCTGCAATACAGTTCTTGTGATATTGGTTTTGAGAATTTGGTATTGGATCAACTATTAATCCTCTAACTGATATTTTTCTTTATTCTCATCACTTGCCTGCTCGATATTGTATCGATATTGTAAGAAGAAATTCCGTCTTGGTCACTAATTATTTAGTTATAAACTTCTTGGCAGTCTGGTTTTCATAATTAACCCTTTTTGACCCCCAGAGTGACCAATGTCTAAGTTCTCCTTACAACATCACCCCTAAATCAAACATTAAGGTTGCAAGAATAAAGGAAATGACCACCTTCCAGATAAGCCCATGATTGTTAAACAAATTCTCCTTGTCAGCACCTTAGAGAAAAGTATGGAGAATATGCATACTGATGTTGAGGTGTAAAGGGTTAACCATCTTCAAATTTTGAAGATGAATGGCTAGTTACAATAATCAGAGAAAGTTAAACTAGGGAAGAACTAGGCTTTTACCTTGATGTTAAGCTGGCTTATTATTCATATCCTTAAATAACCTTAGTTACTGTCAGTTCTTCGGAGAGCTTTAGCTAACTTGACCTGAAATCCACCAAGCATAAAAAAGCAATCCCTGGTTTTATTTCAGTTTAGGGGGATTCCCATTTGTTTAAAATGCTTGTCAGGACCTTAAAAAAAAGTGGAGAGAGTGCACAATGCATAATCACATGTATCACTGTCTAGAATAATTTTACTTAGGGGCTTGTCATTTTTTGTTGTCAGAAGGGGGAGGGGGCAGAGTG